ACAGACCATTGGATGCAGGAGTACCGAATTTAGGATAGGTCAAATTGCTGGCACAGAATAACAATACATAGGTTGAGGAAGGATGGAGGGGAGGGAGGGAAGGAAAAAGAAAAGGAAAAATAAAAAAGTCAAAAAGTCAGCTTATCAACTAATTGTTTCAAGCTATTTATAGCTACTATTAGTCCTAGAACAGACACCTTCTAATTGGAATAAGAAAAAAATGTTTCACAAGTTGCTAAAAGCTGACAAATATCTCATGTTCTACGCAGCAAAAGCTGCATTAACAAGAGCAGCAATGAGAAGGACATATATAAGAAACAGTCACAACATCCATAAAGGAATGATGACTAAGCCAGAAGACCTGAAATAGAAGAACCGATTTAGACTGTTATTTTGTGATGTTCCCTTTTAATAGTCCAGACAGTGGAAATTTCGACTGCCAGTTCTCTGATTCTGTGATGAGCATGTATCTTTGTAGGGATCTAAAAGAACAACTAAAAATATATATATATGAAAAGAGAGAGAGTGTGTGTGTGCGCGCACGCCCATAAAATGCTGCCAACAGCTCTTATGGAATAGAGAGGCTTAAACTTGTGTGGCAAGATAATACAGCAAAAGCTTCAGAAGCAGCTCTGGCTTTCCTGGGGCCATCAGCAGAAGCAGCAGAGGTGTTTGGGTGTGCCAACATTCCAGAAGTCTTTTCAGACATGAATACAGATCCCTTTTGTAAGGCATACAAAGGCATTTCTCTGTTCATTACAAAAGCCTAGACCCAAACCAGAAAGATTTCCTAATCCAAGTGGGAAGGGAAAAGAAAAAAAAAAACACACCAAACACAACCAAAAAACCTCAAACAAACAAACAAACACCTCTCCTCCCCCAAAAAAACCCCCACACCATACCCCAGCACAAAAGTGAACTAGGGAATAACAATAATAAAAAGTAGTATGGCATCAAAATGAAGTATCCTTGGAAAAAATTACCATATCAAAGCTTATCCTGCAGCCAAGCAGTCAGTCATTACAAAAGTACATTTGTTCACACTGGAAGACACCAGGTCAAGTTTCCAGAAGACTGAGGAAGAGAATTGGTCTAAACTTGTCAGATACTTGCAAACAGTCTGCTTAGCACTGTAACCACTGAGAGGAAGCCAGATCCTTAAGGCCATATGCTCAAAACTTTTCTCTAATCCAAACTGACAATCAATTCGAATTCTGAAAAAAAATCTTATGTCAAAATAGAGCTTTATTCCGACAATTATAGCTTGCCTATAATAGCCCATATTCCTCTTTTCTTTTAACACCTGTCAGCTTCTAAGAGGCAAAGACAGTTTTCTGTCTTCAAGCAAGTAAGTCCAATCTACATTTCTGACCCAGGTTTAAAAACTAAATAGCCTTGGACGGCTGAACAGAGATGTACTAAAGTATTGCACGTTAGCTGCACGAAGTGACTCTGGCCAGCTGCCCCTTATCAGTGTTGTGTTCCTGCTCCAGAACACAGCACCCAACAGAGACTGGCTTCATAAAAGAATTTTTAATAAAGGACCGTCTACTCTACAGACAAAAGTAGAACATAGCAATAAAACTTGTGAAGCAAATAAAAATCAGTTCCCTGATTTCTACATGCAGGAGAAGAAAGGAGTTTTATTAAAGAAAATTTAGAACAGTTTGAAAACCCACAATTAAAACCTAACATCTGTTTGCATCTATGCCAAAAAGCTTAGAGCCAATCTCTTACACCCCTGAAAAGGTGGTTGCTGTGAAGACAAACTATTAGATGCCAAAACAAAGGGTTGGGTTTGGGGTTTTTTTGCAAGCCAAAGAATGTCCAAGGCAATGTAAGAATTGCTTGGAAGACGAACACAGAGACAACAAAATACGATTCCCTGCTACTGTTCTTTGAAAAGGACAAATCCTCCAGAAAAGGTATCCTTTGAACGCAAAGTGTCTAAATTCAAGCATTACCCAAAAGACTAGATGCCCAGACAGAAGAGCCATCAATATTATCTGGAGGTGAAGTTATTCTACCTAAACCAAGCAAGCAGTGTAATGCAAGACAATCTCCCCAAGAAGAAATACAATTATCAACTCTCCTGGAATTTTGTGATTTAGAGAAAAGTTGGCATTTGGCCCCAGATGATTCTAAAGGGCTCCTGTTCTTTATGAAAACTCACAGAGCAGACAAGAGACTTCTCCATGAAAACAGCATTAAAAAATAATCTTCCTCCAGGCTTTTGCTGTTTTTAAAAAGAAATTAAAAACTAAATACATTCCTGAACTGTAAGCCACTTCACCTTATAAAGAATCTTTCAGGAAGAATAATTCCTTTAGGACAAAGCTTTCAGACTCCAAGCAATTAAATAAAGAGTGGAAACTAATAGCTGGCCCCCTGATGAATATCAAGATGCACAAACGGTTAAACTCTCTCATAATACAATTTTTCACTGTATTTTCTACTCCCTTTACTAAGAACTGTTACTGCCCTTCCAAAAGACGACAGATACGCAGACTGTAGTCACAAGGAGAGCGTTTTCTTCTTTCAAGTGTTTTAAATTAATAGGTTTGTCATACCTTTCAGATGGTTTTACTCGCTGTTCTGCTGGAAAACTCTTCTCTCTCATGCCCTGCAAGTTAAGTTTGATTTATTTCAAGACTTATCTGAATGCATTTATATACTATATACAAAGCAAAGACAAACAACCACTCATGTTTTGTGTTGGGTTTTTTATTTATACTACTAAATATACCTTGTCTACTTAAGCTTGTTCCCTAACCACTTTGACTATCCACTTTGATCTCTGGCCTAAAAAGCCCATAGATTTAACACCCAGACATTTTTACATTCAGATTGATACTGGAACCATAGGTGTTTTTTTTTTTTTTTCTGAAAGAGATGCCAGTGTTTTTTAAGGAAAGTTCATCAGGGACTCCATCTCTACCAAAATGATCAGAATAGGTAATAAAGCTTATCGCCAGAAATCTCACTCAGAGCCTGTAGCTCACCTGAAAGAGTTTATACACAACATCAGCCTGTTCCATCAGCAACAGCTTTGTGTACAGGAGCATATGAAAAAGAAAATGTTGTTTCTGTATTTTAACATTCTTCCACTGAGAACAGCCTGACCCAATAGCACATAATTACGTTCTGAAAATAACCACCAGCCACTTACTGTTCCAAAAATACAATTAAATCCATAAAACCTCAAAGTATCACTTTCACAATAGTTCCCAACGTCTTAATGCTTACCTCAAACATACTATCGATACTCTTTGCCAAGAAAGAGCATCTTAGTAGAATAATTTGTTAGAGACATTCCAAGCTTTTAAGAAAGCAGGCAGATAAGGACCAGAAAATTTACTTACTTTGTGCTTTATATCTACCCTCTGTTGAATTTTGCTGGAATCAGTAGCTGGAGTCAGAGATGGTTTAAAATACTGGGTCCGACTCACTGGCAGAGAGATTGCCTTTGGCGTCACCAGTTTCTGGACAGGTGGATGCTGTGATTCCATCTTTGAAAAGGAAGCAGCAATCAATTTATCCTTGAACCCACCCAAATTACTATAGCATTCATTGATGAAAAAAGTAATAGAACTACAAGCCTCCCATCAGTCTCAGCACGCAGTGAAAATTATTTGGAAGTGTTGAAAGCATTTAGCTTGCAAAGGGAAATCACCAGAAAACCAGTCATGAAATCCAAAAAGCTACAGAAGTAGCCAAAGTCAGACTGAATCCTAAATAATTCATGTTAATAATATCAGAATAACTCATCCCATCTTTTCCTCTCCTCTGCCCACACTGTTAGGGTTTTTTTACTGGCTTAATCCATTAATTTAACATTCAAAGCAGCTAATTATACAGGTTTCTGGGTTTCATTTTTCCTACTTTGAAGTTACACTTTCAAAAAAAAAAAAAAGTAAAATAATTTTAAAATAATGTCATTCATTAAAATATGTTTTAATGGTTTAGATTTGCATTAGATGCACTTGAAAGTCCTGGTTTGACTTTCCTTGTAAAAACATTTTCACAGACAAGAGTTAATTTTTAACAGAAAGCACTTTACTTTCTGCAAAACTGACTTAACTGAATCATGGAACAAAAAAGACACTAAAAGGCTACAGGATTTACTGAAGGCTCCATCTGCAGTCTTGATGATCAGAAGAATCAGACTTAGGATGCATGCTATTATTTAAATTAGTATCAACAGAAAACTATGTTTACAACGCGGCTCTGATTTCACACTATCTCCCAACTCTTGGTAATAAAATTCATGCTGTACTATGTATAAAGTGAGTAAGAGTACTTCTTTCTAAAACTTATTATACTTATTTTGAAATCTTGAGTAAAATGTGGGGTTTTTAAGTTCACAAACCCATTTTGAGTGAAGAATGGTACATTGCTAGGCAGCAGTATAGGTTAGGGGGTGGACCTGCTGGGAAGTAGCTCTGAGGAGAAGGATTTGGGGGTCCTGGTTGATAGTATATTGTCAATGAGCCAGCAGTGTGCCCTTGCTGCCAAAAAGGCCAATGGAATCCTGGGCTGCATAGGGAAGAGTGTGGCCAGTAGGTCGAGGGAGGTCATTCTCCCCCTCTACTTGGCACTGGTGAGGCCACAAATGGAATACTGTGTCCAGTTTTGGGCTCCACAGTTCAAGAGGGACAGGGAACTGCTGGAGAGTCCAGCAAAGGGCAACCAACCTGATTGAGGGATTGGAGCATCTCCCTTATGAAGAAAGGCTGAGAGAGCTGGGGCTCTTTAGCCTGGAGAAGAGAAGGCTGAGGGGAGACCTTATTACTACTTACAAATATCTAAAGGGTGGGTTGAAGGAGGATGGAGCCACACTCTTCTCGGTGGTTCCCAGTGACAGGACGAGGGGCAATGGGTGCAAGTTGGAACTGCAGTCCTGTAATGTGCTCTAGGCAATCCTGCTTTAGCAGGGGAGTTGGACTAGATGATCTCTAGAGGTCCCTTCCAACTCTGAAAATTCTGTGATTCTGTGATTGCTGTTTTTAAATGTAAACAGAATAGAACTGGAATAGAATAGTTGAGTTGGAAGGGACCTACAACAATCATCTAGTCCAAGCGCCTGACCACTTCAGGGCTCACCAAAAGATAAAGCTTGGTATTAAGGGCATTGTCCAAATGCCTCTTGAACACTGACAGGCTTGGGGCATCAACCACCTCTCTAGAAAGCCTGTTCCAGTGTTTGACCACCCCCTCGGTAAAGAAATGCTTCCTGAAGTCAGGTCTGAACCTTCCCTGACTGATGCAACTTTGAGCCATGCGTCCTGGCACTGGATCCCAGTGAGAAGAGATCAGCAACTCCCTCTCCACTTCCACTCCTCAGGAACATGGAGAGAGCAATGAGGTCACCCCTCAACCTCCTTCTCTCCAAACTAGACTCCAGTGGCTCCAGTATCCTCAGCCACTCCTCACAGGACATTCCTCCCAGCACTGTCACCAGCTTTGGTTGCCCTCCTCTGGACACATTCAAGACCATCACATACTTCTTAAATTGCGTGGCCCAGAACTGCCTAGAGTAAGTACTCAAGGGGAGGCCACACCAGCACTAAATGCAGCAGGATAATCACCTCTTTTGACCTGCTGGTTATGCTGTGTTTGATGCACCCCAGGATGTGGCTTGTGGCTGTCAGGGCACACTGCTGACTCATATTAAGCCTGCTGTCAACCAGCACCCACAGATCCCTTTCTGCAGGGCTGCTCTCCAGCTACCCTTCGCTCAATTTATACTTGTGCCCAGCATTACTCCACCCCAGGTGCAGAATCATAGAATGGTTTGGGTTGGAAGGGACCTTTAAAGGTCACCTAGTCCAACTCCCCCTGCAATAAGCAGGTACACCTTCAACTAAATCTGGTTGCTTAGAGCCCTGTCCAACCTGACCTTGAATGTTTCCAGGGATGGGGCATCTGCCACCTCTCTGGGCAACCTGTTCCAGAGTTTCACCACCCTCAGTGTAAAAAATTTCTTGCTTATATCTAGTCTAAACCTACCTCTTTTATTTTAAAACCATTACGTCTTCATAGAATCATCACAGAATCATAGAAAGGTTTGACTTGGAAGGGACCTTAGAGATCAACCCTCCTGCCATGTGCAGAGACACCTTCCACTAGACCAGATTGCTCAAAGCCCCATCCAGCCTGGCCTTGAACACCTCCGGGGATGGGGCATCCACAGCTTTCCTGGGCAACCTGTTCCAGTGCCTCACCGCCCTCAAAGTGAAATATTTCTTCCAAATATGTAATCTAAATCTACCCTCTCCCAGTTTAAAGCCATTCCCCCTCGTCCTATCACTACATGCCCTAGTGAAAAGTCCTTCCCCAGCTCTCCTGTAGGCCCTGGAAGGCTGCGATAAAGTCTCCCCGGAGCCTTCTTTTCTCCAGGCTGAACAACCCCAACTCTCTCAGCCTGTCTTCATAGGAGAGGTGCTCCAGCCCTCTATCATCTTCATGGTCCTCCTCTGGACTCGCTCCAACAGGTCCATGTCCTTCTTATGTTACCCCCTGTCCTACTGCAAAAGGCCCTACTAAGAAGTCTGTCCCCGTCTTTTTTATAAGCCCCCTTTAAGTATTGAAAGGTTGCAATAAGGTCTCCCTGGAGCCTTCTCTTCTCCAGGATAAATAACCCCAACTCTCTTAGCCTGTCCTCATAGGAGAGGTGTTCCATCCCTCTGATCATTTTTGTAGCCCTCCTCTGGACTCGCTCAAACAGGTCCATGTCCCTCCTGTGCTGAGGACTCCAGAGCTGAATGGAGTACTTCACGTGAGGTCTCATGAGAGCCGAGTATAGGGGCAGAATCACCTCCCTCCACTTGCTGGCCATGTTTCTTGTTACGCAGCCCAGGATACAGTTGGCTTTCTGGGCTGTAAGCGCACACTGTCAGCTCATATCCAGCTTCCATCTACCAGTACTTTCAAGTCCTTCTTGGCAGGGCTGCTCTCATTCCCTTCATCCCCCAGCCTGTATTGATACCAGGGGTTGCCCCAACCCAGGTGCAGGACCTTTCACTTGTCCTTGTTAAACCTCACGAGGTTCACACAGGCCCACTTCTCGAGCTTGTCCAGGTCCCTTTGGACAGCATCCTGTCCCTCAGGCTTACCAACTACACTACTCAGCTTGATATCATCTACAAACCTGCTGAGGGTGCACTTGATCCCACTGTCTGTGTCATTCATGAATAGCTGACATTTGTTCTTACTCGATTTCATGCCATTGATGATTGCCCAATACTCCAACTTGTCTAGATCTCTTCACAAGGCCTCTTGTCCCTCAAGAGAGTCAACAGCACCTCCCAGTTTCATATCATCACCAAACTTGCTAATGGTGCATTCAACTCCTGCATTCGTGTTGTTGATAAAAATATTGAACAGGACTGGCCCTAGAATTGAGCCCTCAGGAACATCGCTGGTGATCAGTCACCAGCCAGATGTAGCCCCATTCACCACAACCCTTTGTGCCCTGCTGTTTGGCCAGTTCTTCACCCAGTGCACCACGTACCCACTCATCCAACAGTTGGACAAGTTGTCCAGAAGGATGGGGTGAGGGACAGTATCAAAAGCCTTACTAAAATCCAGAAAACTACATCCGCTGCACCTTCCCTTCACCCACTAGGCAGGTCACCTTATCGTAGAAGGGTATCAAATTAGTTACACAGGTATATACAATGAAAGTATATAGTTAAACTGTGTTAAACTCAGATGTTTAACACACTAAGAGCTATTCTGTCTGATGCAGATCCTTGAAATAAGAAAAAACAACAAAAAATACCTGCGTAAGTTTGGCCTGATTGTTCAAGTGTTCTGTCAACCATACATTTGGCTTTAGCAGGAAATTACACAACCCTCTCCTTGGCACACACAACCGTCTCCTCCCCTTCTCATCAAGGGCTATCCTTCCCCTGCCAAACTGTATGAATTCTAGCATTATGAATAGACAATTTCTCTACTTTTACGCAGTGACAGCTGTGTGCAACATTCGCTTTCTGACTGACGTCAGGCTCTACGCTTCAAATCTGGTAGATCTTTCTTAATGCCTCATCACAGGTGTAGTTCCACAATTTAACTTAGGATCCATACCAGCTTTGTTTTCAATTATTTGGATAATATTTATGGTAAAGAAATTATAGGCTCTACTTTTCAGCGTTCTTGTAACTTAACATATGGGGAAAGACAGTACAGGAAATCTAAGATGTTTGTAAACTCTGAATTGACTGTAAAATTAGTTCTATTTCTAATCAAGGGATAAGCATAGAAACTCTTGAGACGGTCCAGTTTTGTTTAATATATTCAATACTGACCTGGATGAGAGGACAGAGTGTATCCTCAGCAAGTTTGCTGATGATACCAAACTGGGAGGGGTGGCTGACTCTCCAGAACGCCGCGCTGCCATCCAGCGTGACCTGGACAGGCTGGAGAGCTGGGCAGAGAAGAACCTAATGAGGTTCAACATAAGCAAGTGCAGGGTCCTGCACCTGGGGAGGAAGAATGCTAGGCAGCAGTATAGGTTGGGGGTGGACCTGCTGGGAAGTAGCTCTGAGGAGAAGGATTTGGGGGTCCTGGTTGATAGTATATTGTCAATGAGCCAGCAGTGTGCCCTTGCTGCCAAAAAGGCCAATGGAATCCTGGGCTGCATAGGGAAGAGTGTGGCCAGTAGGTCGAGGGAGGTCATTCTCCCCCTCTACTCGGCACTGGTGAGGCCACAAATGGAATACTGTGTCCAGTTTTGGGCTCCACAGTTCAAGAGGGACAGGGAACTGCTGGAGAGAGTCCAGCAAAGGGCAACCAACCTGATTGAGGGATTGGAGCATCTCCCTTATGAGGAAAGGCTGAGAGAGCTGGGACTCTTTAGCCTGGAGAAGAGAAGGCTGAGGGGAGACCTTATTACTACTTACAAATATCTAAAGGGTGGGTTGAAGGAGGATGGAGCCACACCCTTCTCGGTGGTTCCCAGTGACAGGACGAGGGGCAATGGGTGCAAGTTGGAACATAGGAAGTTCCGTTCCAACACACCGAAAAACTTCTTTACGGTTCGGGTGACAGAGCACTGGCAGAGGCTGGCCCGGGGGGGTGGGGAGGCCCCCTTTCTTGAGATTTTTTCCAAACCCGCCTGGATGCAGTCCTGAGTAATGTCCTCTGGGCAATCCTGCTTCAGCAGGGGAGTTGGACTAGATGATCTCTAGAGGTCCCTTCCAACTCTGAAAACTCTGTGATTCGGTCCATTTTCGCATTAAAACAGCAGATGAAAAGTTTGCATGGAAGAAAAAACACACTTTTGTTCTTTTCGTTGCCTGATCTTAAAGCGGCATTTTGTGGGTTTTACAATTTAATAAACTCGATGATAGCCCAAATTAAAGTGATTTAAAAACATTACTATCTTTAATTTATTTTTTTTTTTCTTCCACAAAAATGAAGGAAATAATTATTTACCACAGCATTATCACCAATTCAGTGCTACCCCCAAATAGGTATTTAGGAACATAAGGTTACAGAAGTGACAACATTTAACAATTTTCCTTCTCCTTACTTTGAGCAGTAATACAAAACATATTCTTTTTCTGCTCAAAATGAACATGGAAATCTGCACAAGGTCTGTGTGATCACTCAATCAGTATTTTCCTATTTCTGATCATTACTGCAAGAGCAAGCTTTCCTAAACAGAAAGATTAACATGCTGCAGAACAAGATAAAACTACTTTGTGTTCTAGAGAAGTTGTTCTTGATTGACACATCAAGACACCGCCACATAAAGATAATATAATTCTTAACCTGAGTAATCTTCACAGTCCTTCATCTAGTGTGGACAGAAAAGACGTTTTTAGCAATTTCCACACAGCCAAGACAGCTACAATTCACATAATGCTACTATTAACTTGAATTCATGTGTATGCTGTCATTGAGATTTGTGACATTTCTTCTAATAGCTATAAAGCATAGAAAGCTCCCAATCTCAGCTTAAGATGTTACTGGTTCTTACCTGTTTTCGTTTGGATTGGAAGCCAGTAATATTCAGCACACTCCTGTCCACAGGCTAAGGGGGAAAAAAAGCCTAAATATTAGAGGATGCTTTTTTCCCTAAGAGAGGGTTCCATCCAACAAAAATGTAGGGGTTTTGTGATCAACTTACAGAAGACAGCGGACTAGAAACAGAAGACGGAATCCTTTTAGCATCCTGTTGAAAAAAAAGTGCAATAAATCAAACTGGACACTACATACGGAAGATCTTCATCCTATACTGGCACATTTACTATGTTTTTCAAACACATGAAATAAAACAGATTAAAAGGAGCTCCATTTACCGCCAACGGACTTGACATCTTCTCCAAGGACTGCAAGATGCGCCGCGCTGTGGAACTTGTCACACCATAGGATTGCACACTTGCTTGTTTAGCTTTCATTTGTCTTCTTACTGGGGGCTGAAAAATTAGCATTGTAAATGTTATGCTGCTTGATTTTGAATTAAACACGCATGTATTTTATGCCTATGGCTACACTGATGATATAACATGATGTTTCTCTGGTGATGACAGAGAAAAAATGTACTCACTGGGCATTCAAGCTACAAAGAAGAAAATATACTCTGCTGACTTATAGAAGTTTAAAGTGGGGCCCCACACATCTTGCACATGGGATAAAGCAACAAAAGAAACACTTTAATGTAAAAGGTCATAAAAGGGAAGATATTAGGCCTATAGGGTCTCTGAAGCTGTAATGAGGAAAACAGAACTGAAGTGAAGGCTTGTGCTGCAGAAAATACGTTCAGTAACAAAACAGATCTCAGAGTTTCATGATGGTGTAAGCATGCCTTCTTAAAACCAATGTATACAATCATCATCAGGAATTTCTAGTTTTACTTCTCTCATTTCCTCCCTTTCCCCAAGATTACAGTTGACTGTAGATCTTTTTACTCTGTTTAAAAAGATTTGAACTTTGATTTGAACTTTAACAGGTCTAAACATATTTCACTGAAAAAGTAAAGTGTTTTATTTGCATCACATGACTTTGAATATAATTTAAAAAAAACCAACAACCTTCTTTCAGTGTGACTCTTTTCTTTTTTGTTAAATCCCTCCTGTAACCACATCATGCTTACCATGCTGCTATGTGAAGACAGGAAGCAGATCATACAGCATGTAAAAAACACAAGCAAGACTCGCTGTAATCCACAGCACGCAGCAACAAGCAAGCTAGTCTCTCCTTTAAAAGCCTAGTATTCTGGTTCCTCTTTTCAGTGTAATCCACATTTATTTTGAAAAAATAAAAATAGCTGAACAAAGAGGGCTCCTAGCTTACAGGAAGTTTTGTGCATTCTGAAGTTTGATTTAACACCAAGTCAGAACAAACCACAAGTTTTCAAGGTTTCTCCTAAGTCAGGAACTTGTAGGTCCCCTTGTTCCACTGTAGAAACGGATTGAAAGACCCCTTCTTCCATTGTAGAAACGGATTGACAGAATAGATCCAGCAAACTATTATTTCCAGTTCCATAAATAAAGTTCCTTTCGACTTTCGATTATTTTTTTTTTTTTTAACAAAGGCCATTTTGATTTAAACACATTCCAACCGAACCATATTTTATTGACTTCCTTTTAGATTCAGCTCTGGCTACTGAGAGTTGTCAGCATTTTTAATTTGCTGGTTCATTTTAGAACACGAAGAACTCTTAGGGGCAAGTAACTCTTTTCAAGAGCTATCTGACTGATACTAAAATAGAAAGCATTTTATTGTTTATCTTGAGATTGCATTTAGGAATCCATGCCTCCCTCTAGGTAATAGAATAGCAAAGGAACAACAAAGTTGCCTTTCAAATACTACTATAGTAAAGAGTGCACCATTTTATAAAATATATTCATAGCATGAGTGTAGGCATGCTTGTGTAAGATCTACAGACAAGTATCAGGCAGGTAGCTTTTGCTACTGTAAACGTAAGTTTTCAAAGTTATGCCATTACTGTTTTTATTTAAATGTTATTTTAACATAATACAGTCAGGGGCAGGCAATGGCAGAAAATGTCATTTTTTAAACGACATAACAACAGAGGAAATCCCAACTACAAACAACTAGCCAGAACCTAAGATGCTACTGTCATTCTTGTGTATTACGACAAATATTTCTATGTAAACTGTTAAAAAAAAGGATTTAAACGTAAATTGTTCTTTTCTACTGTTGTAGGCTGACAGGGCAAAATAGGAACTGTTGCCGCATTTTCAGGTCCCAGCTCACAGCTCTTTTGGCAGTGCTGCCCCTTCTGTATTTCAAATCACATTTTCCCCTCACACTGTGCTACTACTCTCATACCTGATAAGGAGCAATTCGCGCTTTTGTCTCCCTTGCTGCTGCAGCCGCACCACCGTAGGTGGTCTTTCCAGGGTAAAATGGAGAATCCCCAAGCTGGCTTGTCTTAAAGACAGAAGTGTTTCCAAGTGACTACAGAAAGGTATTATAAGTGATTAGTAAAACGGCTAACACATTCAAACTGGTTAAAATTAATACTGTGCATTACTTACAGGAGAGGGAGATCCAAAAGCAGATAAATTGAATGCAGGTTTTTTGGAGCTAGCTGCAGGATGCTGTGAGAGGGAATGAGATCTTTCAGCCTCTGTGGACCAGAGCAGCGGTGCCGAAGTATTTTTTGAAACTGTGATATCTGCCAAAATGACATACACTATATGTAAATGCCTTGTGTACATAGCAAAATTTAATATTAAAGATGACACTAACTCCAGAGTTATTTAATACAGAAAAGTAAGTCTTACAGGATGAATAAGTCCCCTAACACTCATTTCTCCAGCAATCTGACCTTCAGAGTTCTTCGAACAGATCAATTTCACATATGGTATGAAAACCAAGTATCAACCTTCAACTTAAAATCTGTTCACAGAACTGCAAATACGTTACCTTTCAGTAATCCTTCCAAAGCATGCAAATCAAGTTAAAAGTGTGCTTTCAATTCAGAGCAATTTTATTTTTTCTTCTTTCATGGTACAATAAAAGGGAATTGCATAAACAGTGGTACATCTATAACGATACAAAGTTTTTCCTAGGTTGGTAAAGGGCTGGAGACCAGCATAGGTCAGAATTGCACAGGTTTTAAACCTGAAAAATTCCCCAAAGGCTAAACTACGAGAGTTAACAACCTGTTTTCCATGTATGTTTTATGGAGACACACCAGAAAGCTCAAGTAAACTCAGCTTATATTGCTAAACCCTGGCAACATCTACTCTGAATTGTAAAAATACGTTCTCCAGAAAACTTGCTGACCGTGCCTCAATCCCCGCTTATATGGGGGACTAGAAAAAGCTGCAAATCTGCTGTCTGCCCTTTCTCAGTGAGATCACCTAGGTTCCCATCTACATCAATACAATGTTTGGACGGGGGTTTTTTCTTGGCCCCCCGCCCCCCCCCCTTTTTTTTTTTTTTACTTTAAAATATACACTCTTTACTGAACGTAGACAGCCAGAAGACATGGCAGTATTGACAACTGATGCCTTCTACCAAGACAGGCAAAAAAGGTAGCCCAAGATTTGTTCAGTCAGAATAGTTCCTTTATTGACTTTTGGTGAAAACACAGGAAAACATCTTGTGTTTCTTTTTGTCGCCTGTATTTATTCACATTTAACCAGCTGTCAGTTAGACATTCTGAGTCACTCTTCCTTCTAGGCAATCAACCTAGCTGTCGAGCTACAGCGAGTCATCTTTAGTTCCTTCTATCCCAGGTCAAGATTTACAGATAACATATAGCTAGAAGTGTTTATCAGCACCAAATCTTTGTAACATCAGGGTCTCATAAACATATCCCAAAGCATGGTTACATTAAAAAGGTGACAGGATTATATATTTCTAAAATACTAAAACTAAATTTAACTCTAAGATCCAAAGCTGATATTCACCTGCTTTATTTACCAAGGTGATGGGGAATATTAAAGAAGGCAAAGTACTTTATGTTACCAAAAAATCAATTAAAGAACATGAAAGTTACCTTTATCAGATGCTCTAGAGGAGAAGCCACTGGTTGTTGAGATGTTATCGTCATCATGCTGAGAGGTAGAATCTTTTATTTCTTTTACAAGAGACAGTCCAGGACTGCCAATGCCAAGTGAAGAAGATGTAGAGGGCTGACAATGTGGTACTGCGGAATCCAACATGGTACAGTTCAAATGGCTCCGATGAAGAGAGGGCCTTGTTAACACATCTGAGAAGTTCAATGCAGGTCTACTCGTAGATGGTTCTAAAGAAGAACAGGAAGACAATTAGCTTTCCTATAGGCAAGCTCACAGAAGCCAAAACCTGTTTTCTATCAACAGTCATGCTATTGCCAAGTTCTAAGCACAAAAATAGAGAAGCCGAATTTAACTTCTTCCTCACCCAGATAGGGTTTCATCTAACTGTTTGATTACAACAGCAACACTGCTTGCAATACTAAGTATTAATGTCGCATAAGTAGTTAATGATGAGGTTTTACGACACCAAATTCTGACCCCATGCTCAAGTGCTCTAACACTGGGTCTTTCACTAAATCAAACACGCATAAATTCTTTCTTCTGCAGACAAAGCTTGCAATAAACTTTCCAAAATTTGAGATTACATGGCAAGTTACAGACAGCTCTGCAGTTTATATAATCTTGTAACAAAGATGATGTTGATCCGGGTAGGTAACATGAAAATATGTTTTTGCAGAGATTTTGAGTGGTTTTGTTTCGGTGTCGTCATGCCCTCTCCCAAATTCTACCATGTCAGGTCATGCTATAGGCAAAACATTATCTCCTATTCATTAACTTTTGAGATTTTGGAACAAAGGACAAGCGAGCATCGTGGCCTCAGTTGCAATATGGGCATTTTTTCCTCATGAACCAAAGGGTCTGTAAACACTGCCACTGTACTGCAAGAGGTGGTCTCACAGCTCCAATTCGCCACATGAACAGAACAGCTATTAATGGATACCTTGCCTAATATCCATGTAAGACCACAGTCTCTCTCAGGAATTCTGGGTATGAACATGATTTTGAGTCACTATCCTCTTGGTATTTGCACTGAAGCTTAAACTAGCTTTTTCAGTCTTCATAATCACCACTGTACTAGTAATTAGTTCTCCAAAGCAATGGTAGATTTTCAGGACTCTCTTGTTTGAGATAAATTGTTATCAGGCTGAAGTCTGGCAAAGCAAAGCAATACAGGCTGTAACACATTTGCACCTCAGCACTGAAGAAACAGGCTTTCTGAAAGTGTAATAGTAATAATAATAAAAAAATGTTATTAACTATACCAAGAATGATTGGTCTACAATATCCACAGACTGCAACACAAGCTACTAAAGGTTCTAGGGTGTCCATCTGCTCCTGATTTCTTGGAGCTAGAAAGTTTGCTGTGCAGCTGTTCTTACTGAAAGGTCCTTTCACACAGTTCTTCAGGAAAGCCAACATGTGTTCCTCATTCATGAAGACCTTCTCTATTCCTTTATCCAAACTTATTCTTAAGCTACAGCTACACAGAAAGCAATAAAGCTCCTTATTTACAATTAGATGACATTGGTGACAAAGGTATTTCCTCATTATTTTTCATTCTGCCAACAACAGAAGCAACTGACTTTCCACACAGATGGTTACGTACATGTGCTCAGAGAAAACTTCTCTCCTTATTAAAAAATTAAGTTCCACAAACCTGCTAACTTAAGAGAAACTCAAATGAAAGCATATGCAAATTTACAGAGGAGAACTACAGAAACAGTGAAAGGCACAAATATAAAACAAAGATTCGTCTTTTATGCAGTAAAGTAACGGGTTGCAAACTTCTTTGCCAAGGGTCCAAATAGGTTTTCAAAGACCCCAAGCTAGCCATGCACACACCTTAATGCTACCAAATATTTCAAAAAGAATAACGTCATAAACCAAGTTCTCCTGTTCTCCATTAAAGTAACAAGGAACTTTACTAAAGTGATTGAAAAAGCCCAAAGGAGAAAAAAAGGCCACGAGAAGGAATTCTCCTCTGGTCTTTTGTTTTGAGGACAACAAAACTAATTAATGTTTTTACGACCTTAGGCAATTAGATAGACTTTCATTCCAGACCTTTTAAGAAGAAAATGTAACCCAGCACCCTTGCAAATTAATATTACCAATATTTTGCACCTGGCTAACTGACTACCTGAAGTTAACTGATGACTTCCAAGAGCTGTAAGGCAACCCTCAGTATATTTCACAATCATGTTTACAGTTTAAAGCTAAGACAGGTTCACAAACAGTTGTTGGGGGGTTTTGGTTTATTTTGGGGGGGGGGGGGGTTTTTTTTTTGGTGGGGGGTTTTTTTGGTTTTTTTTTTTTTTATTCTGTCAAAACGCTCCTTCCAGCTTCCCTTAGAAATTTAAATTCAAAAGTAGAAATCTGTGAATAAATACAGATGGCCAGAATACTAAATGATTTTTTATATACCTTCTAAATTAATTCTTGCTGATTCAGGCGTGACTCTCCCATCAATCACTATGGTATCTTCATTTGCATAATCATGGTGATAGTTTACTGGATTCTCTTCCTGGTTTGTAGATTCATTTGTATCTACACATTCATCTTCACTTTTATTGAAATACTTCTGTAACCATCCTGGTACAATGTTTTTCACAGATTCTGTAACTCTGCTAATGATTCCCTGCTTGAAAGAAAAAAAAACTTGTTAATTACAGAAACACAGTCAACACATATGCTGGGATGCAACTTTGCATAGACCTTGAAGACAGACATTAGATAGCAAATATTCAGTACGAGAATAAGATACAGGGGGTTCATCCTTGACATAGGATCCCTATACTTCTGGGACACGCGTGACAAAAATTCACCTAACACTGATTTACTACTAACCTATCAGTTTCTGCACTTCCCAGTGACCTTGGCAATGCTCAAAATTCTGAAATTTCAGCCAAAGTCCACTAGAGGCTTGTCAAGTCACAAGGTCATCAGGAAATTCTATTTCTATATGACTCCTGATATATATACTTTTTTGAGGTCTCCTCCTCTAAATGCCTTCACTTGAAAAACCATCAAAAACACAAGTTCAGCAATTATCTACAGTGATAGTGATGACCATAATAGCTGCTAAAAATCAAAGAACTTAAATATTTCTAATTTTTCTAATGCTGAACTGCAGTAACAATGTGTATCAAAAAAATCCCACTGTTATGCTCTGAACAGTCAGGGTATCCTGAAAGAAATCCTGGAAGAAACAGCTATAGTTGAGTAACGGATGCCTCACTATAGGACTATTAAATAGAACGACTTTGATCAAATTTCATTTTGCATCCCCAAACCTTAATACTCTGCAACTACTGAATACGTAAAAGCCATTTCCCTTTTGACATTTACCAATTATTTGCAATGCTTACATTCTATGTTTAAGAAATATTTGTTTACCATTTTGTTTTTGGCAGTCACTTGTTCCCCATCATGCCCTCAAAATTTCAACACACCTTCCTGTCAAATCTCAACCCCCCACAGCAGATCACTTGCAGCATGGAGCTCCATCCCTCTTACACTGACTGCGGCCACAGAACCAGCTGCTAACCTCTGCAAGCAAACGTGAAAGCTAACTCAGCAATTTCAACACTTGGGAAACTGAAAAGTAACAAGAGTTTAACAGATTTTTCTTGAACTCCATTGCCAGTTGCTGACATGTGTATCAAAGGCTCTGGGCAAGGCAGTTATTCTGGGTTTAGGCAACAAAATTTTCTAGTCAAAATTATTATTCAGGTGTAGAAAATTGAGAATATTCTTTGAATGTGTAACAGTTACAGTCTAGTAAACAATTCTGAAACAAGAACTCTGCTGTATTCAACTTTCTTAAAAAAATTAGCACGCAAACAAAAATAGAAGCCCGTATCATTTATTCAAGTCTTTTATACATGATAATGCAAACACCAACTTACAGGAGTTACAAACAAATTAGACACCCTTCAATCTGGAGTTACGAGGGGGGCAGAGAAAGAGGATGAAGGAAAGATCGACGACAAAAAGTCTTTTGACAGAAAGAAAATCATCTTAATTTGCAATTTGACATTTTTCATAATGATCTGTAATTTAATCTTCTACTTGCACAAAGACAGCATAAATATCCAGAGATAGCTTAAAGCAGACGGAATACAGCGTAATAAACACATCCGTCACAATTACCACACTAAGATGCACACAAGCACACCATGCTCAGGATGTTGCTGCTATTCTACATAAATACTAGGCCTCAGTTTTCCAACAAAAACTACTAACTGCATGTAATACCAGAGTTCACACACAGTTCAGTGCACAAGAAGCAGTCACTACTCTATCCCCAGCCCCTCATTTCCACCTTTCCCTGTGACACGCTGTCACCCTTTTTGGGGGCAAATATTTTGCTGCTATGAATAAAAGAGTATAGCGAACTCACAGGAGTTAAAATTTGCCCAAAATGAGCAAATGGTCAGGACACAAACTGCATCCAAGGCAATGCTCCTTCCAAAAAGCTAAGCATTACTGTATCGCTAGAAAGTTTCTCCATCAGAGATCAGATATTATCATCCATAAAATAGGCCTGTATGATTCTCTTGCCAAAGAAATCCTCCCAGGACTGAAAGCTACCTGAGACTCAAGATGGAAGGAGTCACAGGCATCCAGAAGAGTAAACACCCAATCATTAGTAATCCAAATGAGTAAGTGGAGAAGCCAGCTAGACTAATAATTAACCAAGACGACATTTTACCATCCATATCTAAACCCAGACTGGTTTGACCCTTTCTTGCATATGGCAGCCTTGTTAGCATTCTCCACATCATCAGCACGTCAAGATTAATCTGGGTAACACAGAGTAACTTCCCAAACCAATCCAGGAGCTGGAACTCGCTCAGCGCAGCCGTACTGTAGCAAGTACTAATAGCCTGCTCCATCTGGCTTTGGTACAGTGGCAGACAAGAAGCAGAGTTTTATGCTCCAGAATACTGCTGGCTTAGTGACAAAGCAAGGAAAAGAAAAATACACAGAAATGCACCTCCATTTTCTGTCTCCTAAATGAAAATATTGATTAAAGGCATTGTGACAGAACTAGACAGGCATAATGAACAAGCCATCATCAAACACAGATCTTACTAAGAAAAACCATCTCCCTGCTAAAAGTAAACCGCGCACCCCAGGCACGCCCATTCATATGGAGGCATGCGGGGGGGATCAAGAATATGAAAATTTCCTTACGGTACCTTCTACCTGCCCATCGCAGTTGAAAGCTAATAAATAAAATACCACAGCTGCGCTCCTGTCCAAGCCAGGTAGTTAAGGCACCACTGACCAACTACACTTTCAAACATGCCCACTCCGTATTCTTGCCAGGACATTCCAGCAAAGTGTCACGCCTTACACCGTCTTTAGAGCTAGCATTTCAATCTTACGCTAACTTTTAGTTTTATTTTTCAACTTCAGCACAGGTGTTTGAACACCCTTTCCCTCCCCCTGCACATGCAATACAAGCCTACCCCGCCAGTAGCAGAGCACTCCCCCTCCGCTGCTCCTCTACCAACAGCTCTGCATTTGGTCCATCCCTGGTTCCTTGGCACTACCATCTCCCTGCACAGGCATCATTAATCCTTCTAGAAGGCTGACAAGGATACCGCACATCTTATTGATGCAAACACATCTTCAGAGGTGAAATACAGAAGACATGGCACAAGACAACCCTAACAGGCTTATTCCTCCAGCAAAATCTGAGCAGACCGCTCAGATCCCAATCTCCTCATGCCACAATTACGTACCAGTCCCTTTCTGAACACCTTAATTCACTACAGCTACACCAAACACGCTACTGCACAAAAACTCTTCTGGTTCCCAAACCCAGGTTGGGAGCAGAGGAAGCGACACTGGCACGCAGCTTTAACACTCATAACTCCTCATTTCTGACAGGCCACAGAGGCACCAAACTTAGTATAGTGAATAGGCAGGAGATGCCACAGGGAGTATCATGAACGGGCAGGAGATGCCACGGGGAGTATCGTGAATGGGCAGGAGATGCCACGGGGCAATCCCGACTGCACATGGCAGTGTTTTAGTCCGTGAATGTGTTTTACTCCTTAACTGACTGATTTCAGCAGTTTGAGAGCTGCTGTCAGTACCAACAGCTGTCTGCTCATCTTAAATGCACTCATACTCTATTCTCATGCTAAAATATCAGCAGGGAAGCAGAACAAAACAAAACAAAACCAATCCACTGAAAAGATCCAGTAGCTTAGGAATAGTTTTTCAAATTCTGTGCATCATCCTAAGTGTCTGCAGCTTTGCTAGATATAAGTCTCTGTATACAAACACCACAGCAACAGTAACTACAGTTACTCCAGGCACATTGCCTTGAGATGCAACTCTAAGCAAAAGATAAGTAGATAGAAATACTAACCAGTAAACAAACAGGTGTTGTAATTTACTACTTTAAAATACCATTTCTTCACGGGATTTATATAAAGAAAGAAAAATCAATACGTTATGGTCACAGTTTGACGTCCAAACTTACAAGGAGGCTTCTTCTTGGCCAAATATATTTACAGAATAGAACAGTTTTTCCAGCTTGTAAGGGTCTTTCATGTAGCACAGGGGCAAAAGTGCTGGCAGGACTACTCAGCAATGATGCATTACTGGAAAACATCTATTTTTGTAATTGAGTTAATTTCAGTCTGAGAGGCTTAAGTAAATCCCACTATGCAATACAGGACATACTAAAAAAATTAGATATAGAGATTATATAAAGGTCATATACTAACATGAATTTGTCAGAGATGCAAAATACTCAACTGGATAAAAGAGCTAATTTCCACTTCACTGTATGCACACCTCTGAAAAGCATAAAGTTTTTACTTCCAGGCCTCTTGGAGATTCCTTTGAATTTCAAAGTTCAAGTTATTAGAACATATGAATGAGTAACTCCTCAAAAAGAAAACCTGCACCTAACAGTGAAGTTCACTGCAATAGAGCAGATCAATCTAACCTCTTCCAACCATTAAAAAGGAATTTTTGTGCTCTCTCCGTCCCCCAGTTACTTCACACGAGCTCTGGCAACATAGCAGGCTACTCTCCATACTAGCTGAATTCATGAATCTGGCAAAAAGTACATGTTTCTCTGCTGGACTAATGAGTTCAACTGGCTCAGTGCACCAGAACTGGCCCAAGAGAGATAGCAAGATCAGGCAGCCAGGACGAGAGGCAGAAGAAACAAAACTTCTCCCTTCTTTTAACCATCCTGTGTCCATAGTGGCATTAGAGAGATTGTCCCTTTCTCCTCCTCACCTCACCCTTGTGCTGCCGCTAGCACATACATCCAGCCAAGTGACAAACTGTATCAGGGCTCTATCACACAGATCCAGCCAAAAATTTGTCTATACTCTGACGGTGAGGACTACCCCCTCAGGGGCATCAGGTTGCTGGTCCAGCTCACCATGTGGCTGCACGGGTGCTGATGCAAAGGCAAGAATAGAAACAGAAACACGACATCATTGTCTCTCACAGCGGCACAGACTTAGACGGGCATAAACTAACTCTGCTTTTGCTATTTAGGGAGTGGTTTCAATTTGGACGTAGAACACCAGTTTAGTATTTCATTTAGAAAAAAAGACAATAAAACTTATGACTTAATACGAACAATGTGTTACAGGA